TCCTCTCCATCATATTCTATGGCCTGGCATTGACACTGCGTGGCTTACAAGCATCCTGACAGAAGGACGTGGAGTTTGCCATTCAAAGCCTGGCAGAGCTCTGCATCATTCTGAAGGGTAAGGCTGGGCAAATTTGCATCTGAAAGGGTCACTTCCAACCTAGAGCATTTGGTTTATTCTACAGGATTTAAAACAAACAAACAAACACACACCCACACCCAAAACTCCCTATACCAACAAAAATACTGCTAGCCCTGGAAAACACCCTAAAACCTGAAAAATATTGAAAAAAATATAGCATTTTACAACTGACGGTATCTCCAGAAATTGTTTACACTAACGGCACAAGTGTAATAGAAGCTAAGTGCTTTTTAAGTATGCTAAGGCTAAACAATTATCTCTGTCTTCCATATCCAGATGGCTGCTTGCTGGAGCCTAAGGAAAGGAGAAAGAGGACAATGAAAGTGCTAAACTCATAAAAACTGGAAGTCTCTAAAGGAAAACAGTTTGAGAAAAGGAAGTCACTGTGATTTCCTTTCTCAGACAGATTGCACAGGCCCTGAGAGCCTAACAACCCATGACATGATTCTGCTTAAGCCTGTGGACAGGTGTCCCCTAATCCCTCCACTTCACGCAAAATTCCAAGGAAAACAAGCAAAGTACAGAAGAAGAGAAGGAAGGACAAGAAGTGTGGGTTCCTACTGGGTGTTACAAAACACCCTTCTCTTAGATTCCCAGCCATCTGGTCTAAAAGCCATTTTTATATACAAGTTTTTAACCTCCAAATATTACACCTGAATATCCTGAGAAAGTGATTCCAATCTGAAAAGCAGCTGCTGTGAAAGAATCTCCTTCCCTGCCAGATCAGGGTACTACATGTCAAACCTGTATACTTCAGTAATATGACCATGGGTTTACTACCTTTTAACTCCTCATAGCAGTACAAAACCAAGGCAGATTTGGAGGAATGAGAATAAAGACTTTAGCCTGTGTCAAATGCTTTAATGCAATACCAGTAACAGATTCTGCCATGCTCAGAGAAACCCATTCCAGGTAAAATCTACCCATATGCACTCCTAAAGAGACACTGGAAATGATGATGGAATCTTCACCTGTGCAATAGAAAGCTGTGTCTGAGCAGCTGAGTTTTTCTGCTTCTTCTGCCATCATGAATACTGTTTCGGATCAAGCTAACTGGCAATAAGTAAAAGACCATCTCATTTGGAAACTCAGGAAATTTCCTCTTGAAACTGAGAGACAACAAACACAGAATTCCCTAGATTAATTTTCACAAAGCTTTTTCTTTCCCTGCTCCAAATAAAGCTAATTTTTATCTCCTAATCCAACTTTTATATACGGGTTCCAACTTAGAAATGGTTATAGCTCAAGGACAGACGAGGTAGACAGAAAAAAAGGGTAGACAGAAAAATGATGAATATTACAGTGGCTTAAGCCATGATTACAGATGGTCTTTATAGTTCTAATTCCTGCAAAATAGCATAAAAAAATAAACCAATTTTGTTGTTGCTGTTGTTCAGACAATTGGTATATAAAATGCATTTTTTGTTTTATTTTTGGCCAGAAAACTGTTAGTTCTCAAAGTTAACTGTGTATCCAGCAATGCCACCAGCAAAAGGGACTCTGAAATGGGAAAACTGATTAGAAATACTGATACTCTCCCCACTTCCTCTCCATTACTTCTACAGTAAAAACTTTAATAAATACAGTCACTGTTCATTAATATTTAGAATACTGCCTTTTTTTGCCAAAAATCTTCAAATATATGAATCTACAATTAATTTTTAATGCCAATACACACAGAAATATTAAACCTTAAAGTCATCTTTGAATGTGTCAGACGTGCTTATATCTGAACATCTCAGATGGAATTAAGATGAAGTTATTTACACATGAGAGATCTAAGCAGAGCTGTGTGGGAGTCACAACTCCCTTTAATGAGACAGCCTATAATTGTAACATCTTTCCGTTCCACATTGGAATGATTCCCTAAGTTTCAATCAAGAAAACTGATTTAAAGCAAGAAAACAGAATGCCAGAACTTTACCTTTTACAACTGCTACAGACCACAAAATACACTTCAAAAAGAAACATCATGAAAGCCAACATAATCCCATGGAATATCTACGGTTTGACAAAAAGACATTTGTGGAAAACACTCACTGGCGCACTTCCAAGCAGCTCTCACTGCAGAAACTGATGTCTACTTTGACAGGGATTGTAACAGATACAGTTGTATTCTGAATACCTTACTTTTCTCCTCAGGGCAACGTTGCCTCAGGTTATACAAGAGCAAGAGAAACAGCAGCGAGAAGTTTAGCTCACAGAGGGTGCAAGTGTATTTTCAGTTTGGATTCTAAAGGGTGATGGGAAAGACTGTGATAAAATACAGAGGGGGAAAAAAGTAGCTGACAAACTAGAAAGGTCTTTTCACCCTACAGATCTTCTAGCTGCCCTACTAGCAGGGACCAGTGCATTTATTAATGGTTACTATGTAAGAATTCCTGAAGAACATGCTGTGGTAAGGATGCTGCTCAATTCAAAATGAGTTGTTAATCAAAGTCTGTGTCAGAAATTGAAAAGAAATGTCACGTCTTGTCACTGTTTTCATTTGCAGGAAGAACTGCATATTTTATAATTATGGCCAAACGTGATGTTCAACTCTGCACTAATGAGCCCAAAAAGAGCAGACGGGAAAGGACCTCCAGTCAGTTGCTGAGGTACTGCTTGCTAACTGAGCTTTAGAGGGCAAGATCCCTCTACAGTAGGAGAGCTGTCTCTCTATAATGAAAAGAAGGGGCTCTACAAAGCAAGGAAGTATTTAATATGGATACCTCAACCTCACCATAAACAACCTTTTACTTTAGCAAAAGCCTTGCTCAATTAAGCAGAGTTTCATTGTGAAGGAGAAACTTACGATGACAACAGTGTCTCAGAATGCTTTTGAACCATCTGAAGGATATGAAGTCACCGTTACAGAGAACTTTTACTAGTAACTTTACCTTTCTACAACATCCTCTCCATTCCAGCAGGTTGAGCTGTCTCTCATCACCAGGTCTCCATCACACAGCCGTTCTGCTATAGAAGCATAAAAGGTTCGGGATCGCTTCATGTAATTGATGAACTCTCTGTAATGTAGGAAGAACACATTTAACAACAGAACAGTAAACTTATGGTTTAAGCCCCCGTCAACTTAATCCTCCACAAGATTTAGAGTTTAGAAGCCTTACAGAATTAAGTCACCCAAGTTGATTAATTTCTATTTCTAATGTCCTTCTACTTGTATGTCTCATCCAGTCTTACTTGTCCAGTTTTAATACATACAATTACACACAAAGGGTGGCTTTAACAAATTACATCAACACAACTCACACAAAATCTGAAAAAAAGTCTATAACTACTGTTTCTCTATAAACACATTGAAAAATCAGGAGAAAACATCATCCTTACAGGAATGGGGCCAATTCCTCACTATCATCACTGTCCATGGCACATTCCTATTAGGAAGAAATTTCTCTCTCATCATGGCTGGCACCTCACCTGTGAAGAGGAGGCTGTGTCTACTGCATTGGGGAATAACCAGAAGTCCTGGCCAGTACAAACACCCCATTTCTAACCATATGTGTATGGAAAAATGCCTTGTGGGCAAACTGTTGTCTCTTGTATATATGTGGCTGAGGCAGCCATAAAAATCAGCTGTAACAAACCAAGTTTTAATTCAGCACACAGAGTTGAGAGCATTTCAGAATGAGAAATTACCCTGTCTCCACAGCTTTAGAACACCTCCTGTTTGGTGTAAGTTGTTACAGGTACTGAGAACAAGATGCAGACAAACTGAGTTCACAGAGCTACCTGCTTGCCTCAGAAGTCCCTCAAAAGCCCCATTGGGAAGGCCAAAGGACTCGTTCTGGTTTATCATAGAATGAACTAGGCTGGAAATGACCTTTAAGATCATCGAGTCCAACTGTTATCCCACAACTGCCAAGCCCACCACTAAACCATGTCACTGAGGGCAAAGTGATCTCCCCTTATGGCCGCCTCTCATGATCTCCACTCGCAGCCACCCCTCATCTGCCCCCCCTAGTGACCCACACTGCAGAGCTGCTGCCACTACCCTCACAGCCACCCCTCACCTCCCCTCAACATCTACTCCTCATGGCCGCCCCTGCTCTCCCCTCATGGCCGCCCCTGCTCTCCCCTCACGATAAATTAAGCCCATGGTGATAAGGAACTAATGCAGGAAAGCTGTTATTTTCGGCGAAAAAAAAGCAGGAATTCCGGGGCTTACAACGAAGGAATCAGCATTTCTACCTCTTGACCACTAACTTACAAATATGAGCTCTAAGTCTTGGTAGAGTAAAGCTAGACCCAGAAGGCCACTAACTGACAGAACAGCCTGGGAGCATCAATTACGAGAGGTGATTCTATGCCTCACATGCTAAAGACTTCAAAAGCTCTAAAATGTAGTTTTCATTGAAGGAGAAATAGAGCACCCTTTTAAGAGTCTAAAGCTTGTCTTCCTCAGCTCACCCCAAGAGGCTAAAACTCCTTGGTATTCTCAGCAGAGTGGGGCTCTGACAGTTCAAAGCAGCATCTTAGCAAAAGCAGAATTCTGTGTCCTGCTCTTACAGAGTGACAATACTCCCTTTTCACCAGCATTAGACTAAACAGACCAGGGCAGAGATACAGTTTCCCAGTGCCCCACAGTATAAAGCAGTGATCAGAAGTTCACCAAGTCCTAGATTACAGCTGAAGCAGCAGCTCGCAATGGAGCAGAGCTAAGTGTAGAGACAACAGAGTACGTTACTTTGGTTTCGTTCTTACCGAGAGACTTTTTTCAAACTTCTTGATTTGTCATTCTTTGAAGCTTTCAGAGGCAGAGAACTGGAATAGGCCGGGGAGAATAAGCATCAACCAGGAGAAGTTGGGGAGTAGGGGAGAAGCAGATATGCAGGCAAATGAGGACAAGAAAATGAGAAACAAAAGAGAAAAAAAGAAAAAATTATTTGGAAGAAAGGTCACCAAGCACATGCATAGGATAACATAAGAAAACAAATAGGAGGAAAATTGTCATGAGATTTTTCCGAAGTATAGATGCAATTAAAAATGACAATGCAATACTGGGAAAAAACCAACAAAATATGACTGAGATTGTTTCTCCTGATCCTTTTCAAATCAGAGCACAATTACAGATGCAGCACACAGTCAAAAATCTGAACAGAAATTCAGTGGTACTTAAATTAACTACAACTGATACCAAACAGAAGAACTGTAAATATACGAAGCTATACAAGAAAACAATGGCAAACAGTTTAGATTGAAAACCATGGGAAGGGGAATATGAAGGAGTAGCATTCATTTTCTGGTACAATGAGCAATTTGCTGCCTGTTAATGAACAATGCAAATACAGGTATTTTTTGCTATTCAGTTCTGGTCAGATTGCAGCACTTCAGAAAAAACCAAACCAACTTTGCAAAACAGGAGACACAGGCTCTGACCTTAGACGGGAGGAAGAACTGTGGAAATAACCATGGTAGTTACTTAGTGCAAATGCATTTTCTGGCACTGATATCCTAAGGCCCCTTCATTAACGTTAAACATTGCCTTTAACATTAATGTCATGATGCAATTTTATCATAGAATCACAGACTGGTTTGGGTTTGAAAGGACCTTAAAGCTCATCTAGTTCCTCCCCCCTGACACAGGCAGGGACACCTTCCACTAGAGCAGGTTGCTCCAAGCCCCTGTGTCCAACCTGGCCTTGAACACTGCCAGGGATGGGGCAGCCACAGCTTCTCTGGGCATCCTGTGCCAATGCCTCAGCACCTTCATTGTAAAGAATTTTTTCCTCATGTCCAGCCTGGCTCTTCTCTTTTAGTTTAAAACCATCACACCTCATCCTACCCTAACAGGCCCAGCTAAAAAGTCTCTCCCCTCTCCTGTGGTCACCCCCGCTGCTAGCTCCCAGAAAGGGTGATGGCCGAGCTGCCAACATCTGGGTGTCCTCAGAGGTGCTGAGGGTGGTTCTTACTCTCTGCAGTAAGAGTTAACTGGATGGCAAGTATTGTTGAACCTGTTTGCAGGCATTACTCTAGCTGTTGCCATTTCTTTATACATGAGAGCAGAGGTGTAAGAAAGAGAGGATGTGTTATCAAATCATGTCAGTGGAAACCGCATACAGTTCTCATGTCTCCAACAGAAGAACGACATGGAACTATCGGAGCAAGACCAGAGGAGGGCCAAAAGGATGATCAGGGACTGGAGCACCTCCCATACGAAAACAGGCTGTGAAAATTGGGTCTCTTCACCCTGGAGAAGGCTGCTATGAGGTCCCTTCTAACCCAAACTATTCTATGACTCTATGATTCTATGACGTGCAGCGAGCATCAGGTGAGTGTCACCTGCCACCACTGAAGCAGTGATCCCAACACAGCCAGTCAAAAAAGGAAATGAGCATTTTTAACAGAGAAAATCTGGAGCTGCTGAAACTTCTGCTTTGGCCGTTCAGTCAGAAACGTTTGGTTCGTTTCCACAGTAAGTTAATTTACATCTGGCATTAATAATCCGTTTTGTTCTACCACTTTAATATGCAAATTCTAACAAAATAACATGACTGACTCAACAGATAGTTAATTTAAAATAAATAGATGCTATTAACTTCAAATATCCCCAAAGCAACTAAAAATGCTTTTTTCAAGATGTATGAAAGTTCCACAAGTTCATGCTATATCAAAGAAATCCCAATGAAATATAATTTCAAAGCCTTTCTCCTCCAATTAGGCACCTAATATCAGTCCTAGGGTAGAGGTTGGACTTAATAATGTTAAAGGTTTTTCCCAACCTAGATGATTCTATATTACAGTTGTTTGTTAAACATCAGATGTTTTTATATACAGATCTGTACCTAGTCTATGTTTAGTGGTTTGAAATATTACATGCAGCAGACACGCTAAAAGGCCGGTATTCAGCTTTGGTAGGAGACCAGGCCCTGACCAAAATAGTACTTTGTGCTGAATTCAGCAGTAACATTCCACTGATTCAAATTCTGTACATGCCATGTACATTCCCTGTATCATCATATGGTTTCAATTTTCTTGTCATGTCTACTACATGTTTAGGAACTTCCACATTAAACAAAATGACTGCAGCAGCAATGCTGCCAGTTTTAGTTAATCCCTGAATACAATTGTGTAATGGAAAAAAAATATTAATAATCAAATCTATGCTTTTCAGCTTAACTGGAGGAAAAGGTTTCCTATAAGATCATTTATTCCAGTTGCAGCTTCTTACTCTATTGTCCTTGACACAGTGTTGTGTAACAAAAAATATGCAGTAATGGAATGCAGTGGAAAAGAAAGATGGGAAATATCCCAGGAACCCATGAGAGTAAGAGAAGGAAAAAAAGGTTCAGCTTCCACAAAAGAGGATTCAGTTGCTCTGTGAATTCAGGGACCATGCAGGACCATGCTGTGCAGAACAGGGGAGGGTGAGGAGGGTGGCCTCCAGCCAGACTCAGAAACACACACCCAGAAGACAGATGCAAGGCAAAGAGACACCATCTTCTCCATCCCACTTTTCAACTGCACCAGCAGCCTTGGCTTTACTAAAGAGCTGAAACCAGAGGTTCTCTTGACTTTGTAACCAGCCTTGCAAAGGAGCACGCATACGTATGTAGGTAATAAGCTGTTTGGCACGAGGTTTTTGAGGCTCAGTACCTCTAAACAGGTACTACAGAAGAGATGAGAGGCCACTTTATTGTGGTTTCTCCTGCAGATGTGCTAACCAGGCTGGTTCTTCTCTTTTTGCTTAGGAATACTCTGACACATTAAGGGAATGCACCACAGCTTTTCTGTTCACCGGGGGAGTGCTGGCTCATTCCTTCTCTCTTTCTTTCTTTATTCTAAAAGGCAGGAGTCATGTTCCATATTCCCCTTGAATTAAGGATCATTTGGAGTTATGTCTGCTACACAGACCAACAGACTCACCCAGTCAGGCCCCGTCCCTGTGTGACCTTGTACCTAAACTGACAGACAGCTGACATTATTGTTCGTCCTTTCTTACATCGCCAGAAGGAACGACACCAAAAAAGATTCTCACATAATTACTCCCTTAATCCAGATCCCCTGTAGCAGTTATCTGTCACTCAGTGCATTTTACACAACCCACTGCAGGAATGTTTTCACCATCCATTTTGAAGTTTCATTACCCAAGATTGCTTTTTATTGCTCTCATATGTGATTAAATGCTAGATGAGAAACAACACAGTGATGTAGCCAATCACTGTGTTTTTCACTCTATTTACTGTTTCATTAGTTCCCAAGAAGCAAAGTACAAGCTTCATGCCATGAGGTTTACAGGTAGTTATGGGAAATGTGGAAATAATTTCCTGCTATTAATTATGGCATGGCTCCATCATTCATTTTTGGTGGATAAGGTCTCCATAATACCTGTAACACCATTTCAGTAATGTAAAGGTGGCTTTAGTTTAGATTTTTTTAATAGATGAACTTCTAGAGCGCAGACTAATTTGGGAGAACTGCCTAAATTACAATATATTAGTTTTAATATGTTTTCTTTTCCATCAACAGGTCTTACAGGTCAATATCCAAATAATTCTAGATGGCTGGGAAGAGGAAGGAGCAGATCCCCAGGTGAGAAAGAACTGCTGCCATGCCATTAAAGCCACCAAATTGCATCTTTTTAAGAGGTTACCTGTTCATAGGTTGGCAATTCTGCCTTTTTGCTTGCGTATAAGTCCAAGTGAAGTCAAAGAGTTACACAGAAGATAGCCTAGGGCTCTGTGTCTTTAAAAACTGCTACAAAGGGATAAAAATACCACTATCACTCAAAAAACTTATATTGCTGCTATTACTTTTACCTTTCAAAGCAGCATTTGTTTCATTCATGCAAGCTTAGATAAAAATCAAGATAGAAATGGATAAAAATCTCATCTAAAACACTCAAACCCCAGAATCCAGGTTATGTAAATTTTATATTGCTGTCTGTCATCCACCTATCCAACACAGAGATACAGTGGACCCCCTGGACAGCTTTCAGATAGAGGTGTAAGCCCAGCACAATCCCACTCACTTTGCTGAAGTTGTTCCAGGTTAATGCTGGTGTTACAGAGAACATCATGTTAGCCAGAAATATGCCATTGTGATTTTATGGTCTGTTAACTCTGACATTTACTCATGTGTCATGAGTGGGACTGCAAAGACATTCTTCCCTCCCCACTTACAACGAGGAAAGTGAACATGAGCTACATGAGGGAAAGTGAAAGAAAGACTAGGAGACCTGGGAGCAGGGATACTCATGCCAGGACAGTGGCAGTAATTCAGCCATTTAGTGTCTCAGCTGGCAAGCAACTGAAGAACAGAAGCCAAGACGGACACAAGAAGGCTAAACATAAATGCATCTGCTCTGGTTTTACTGTGTAACAAATCAAGGAGATTGCCAGGGATCTCATTACTCCTCCCCAGCCCTCTGAAAGGAGGGACTGACTCTTTCCTTTTCACCCTTTCCTCCTTCCCACCTCTGCCCCTGGATAAGCTCAAGTCCTTAAAGACCTGGGCAGTTGTATTTTAATTAATTGAGACTCAACTGTGGAAATAACTCAGACTTTGTGGAAGAAATGCTTTCATCATTTTCACTGGAAGTTTCTGGAAGTAATGAACACCTTGGTGCTAAGTAATGACGTCAAGTCTGGCCCGTAAAAAGCTTTTCTTGGAGAGACCTGCAGTGAAGTACCAGAAAGACATCTGTGTAACTATCAGTGATGGCAATGGGTGGGTAACACACAGGCAAGGTGACAGAACTCTGGCTCTGGTTTAAACACTATGATGCAAGGAACCATTAACACAAACTGTGAGGCAGAGAGTTTATTTCAAAGCAACTGTTGCTTAGGGTTACCTTCTTCTATTGTTCAGACTAGCATGAGCCATCACGAATGTCTGGGTGTCAGCAGTCGCTTCCTTCACTGGCACTATGTTGTCTGATGACAGGTTCCCTTCTTGCTGTTTGGGCTGTCCACACACTTTGTCAACCTGTATGAAAGGAAGGGAAAGGAAAACTGGGTTTGAATGGAGAACATGATTTACAATTGCCCAAAGGCCTGTTTGTTCCTTGTGGTCGGTGTTTATTGCAAGAGGAGGTATCTGGGCAAGACAAAGAAAGGATTCTTCTTACCAGGACCTGGAAACCAGTCCCCTGCGTAAGAATAACCCAAGTAGAAGGCCGTGCAAAGAGCACTGCAACCAGGAAGCCGACAGTCATGTATCTGTGACCGGATACTTGGACTATAGCACACATGGGAAGAGGCTGAAATAGTGACTGATGGAAGTTTTGCCAAACCAAACTTTTATTTAGAAACATACTTGGAGTTTGAACGCATACACATTTTGGTGCAATATCCACCCTCTATGGAGAGAGCAGAGTCTATTTGGTGTTTGAAGGGGCTTGTAATCAGAAGACAACTGAGTCTTCCCGCCTTTAACATGACAATGTTCTCTTAAAACAAAGGAACGAGCGAAAGAAGTGAGCATCAACAAATCACTGCCCATAAAGTCTTTTCTTGGACAAAACAGAATGAAAAGAGAATTTCCAGCCTTGGGAATCATCAGTGCCTTGGATCCTGGGTTCAGCACACTAATATCACACAGCCATTTGCCCTTATTGACCTTCTGAAGCCCCTCTTAGGGGATTCAACACAAGATGAGGAGAAAGCAAGCTTGTGTTTATCCTTTGTGCATTGTGGAGCTGAAACTGCTCCTGCATCCTGCTACATTTATTTGCTGTAACAGCTGTAAGTGACAATAGTAAGACAAATCTCTCCCCTTTCCAATCCACAAATAAGTAATCTATAATGTTTTCACCTACACTTAAATCCTCAAGCAAACACAAAAAGAAGGCAAAGGAAATCCTACTGTGGGCATGGTACTACCAGAGACCTTAATCACACAGAATCCATCATTCCACACAGCACTATATTTGGTATCCCTTCTTCCATTTTCCATTATAACCAGGGTGAGATGAATTCTTGCTGGTCTGTGCATTTTCCTGCATTTTTTAAACCCTTACTGAGTCACAACTGCCAACCAGCTGAATATTTCAGACCACAGATGACTTCAAAAGAATTTTCTCTGCCCCTTTGCACCACTATGTTGTATATGTCAGCACATGTATAGGACAATTTTCTCTACCTTAGCCCATTTCCTCCAAGAAAACTACTGCTATGTAAAGCCAAGGCATTTTCCTCTGGAAAAAAAAAATGTCAATCAAACATGAAAGGTTGGAGGGTCAACTTTAGTTGTATGAGTTATGGCCTGCTCTAGTATAATGTGCTGTGAAGAACTTAAAACTGTAGCAATTGAATGAGAACAAACTGGATTAAACCCGACATATCAGAGTGGGAGCCAGCTGCCTCACTCAACAGCATGCACTGTGTATATTGTTCTGGTCTCACCAGGGACTAACACAGCACTGGTCTAAAACACAACCTTATAAAGGATCTGCTTCAGTCCCTTCTAAACTTCTGAAAGATAAAAAAAAACACTCTATGCAAATGAAAATATCAACAAAAATGCCTTTTGAACCCTCTGGAGGTGGACAGAGGGTATAGCACAGCAGGACCACATTCCTCCACAGGATGCTCTCCATCCTGTGCCCCAGGTCTCCTGCAGCATGGAGACCCAAATTCCCAGCATAGGTTTCTGCAAAATCCATCTTAAATTGCATCATGTCACTGAGGTTCATGTCTTCAAATTAAATACACCTCAAATTCAGTCACTATGGATTTAAGAGACTTTTAACCAGCTACACCAGGGAGGCTAGAAAGGCAATCTGGTTCTCATATATGTAAGCAATGAATAACTCCAAGTTGTTTCGTTTTCCTGTGAGAACTTTAAAGAGACTTAGAGTCACCATTTTTGTAGCGAATCAATAGTTTAAGCATCCAAATGAAAACACACACTTTGTTTTGATTTGTATTTTTGATACCATAGAAATAAAATTACTCTTTAAATTGCAGAAGTGTCAGTATTTTCTATGCCAAACCTTGACTTTGGGGTTTTCTTTCTCACCAGGAATAATCGTTTCCTGCATATCAAACAAAACCATGGTATTTTAAGGAAAAAAATATTTCTTAGTGGAAAATTTTAACCAGTTCTACTCCAGATCTTATAGAAGCCTTCCAGTACCTAAAAGTGATTTACAAGAGAGCTGGAGAGAGACTTTACAAGGGCATGTAGGGGCACTGTTTTATTATTACTATCAATAATAATAATAATACTCTTTTCCTAAATTCAAATTTTAGTACCCATAAAGAATGACTAAGCTCATTTATTTCTATGATTTTAAAACTTAAAAGTGAGCCTGCTGATCTTAAATTACCAGGTGATAGGAAATCACCTCTCCTTAACTCTAACAACACTGAAACCATTCTTCGTCTCTTTGATGATATTTAATCAAACCTGTCTTCTAAAAGTGAACACATAGAGTCAAAAAATAGTATTCCTCATACTTTTTTATGTTCTGAATCAACATTCAGAATACTTTTTCTATACACTTTTCTATACACTTGTATACACTTTTCTTTGAATTAAAGCCTTTTTACTTAAACATCAATGATTCTTAAATATCTATCTTTCTAACTACCATAGCTACATTTCTTCTCCTGTGAAATTCTCTTTGTAATGAAATACAGAATCATAAATATGTAATATTTGACCTCTTACTATTTGTTCTTTAAAAGAATGACTATTTACAATTACAGCAGAGGCTTAATAAAATAAATTGAAGAAATCTCATCCAAAAATCTTTCGAACTCTTGCAGCTTGAGCAACCTGAATCATCGAGGTCATGTTTAATATACCTAATATAATCAAACAAGGGAAAAATGTCATGCCCTTCTCAATGCCGAGAGAACATTATCTCTGTAAAGCAGGAGACCTTTTCACTGCTTCAGAACAGTAATTTTCTTTGATTTTTGTAATGAGAAGTTTTTTCTACTGATTGGGCTTTGAGTTACCTAAATGCTGACACGGTTTCCAGCAAATCCTCCCCTCTTACCTCCCTCCATCTTTAACCCAATTCAGCTCTGAAAACACCCAGCAGCTGGGTGAACACCTCTGAGAAATTACAGCCCTCAGCCCCAGATCCTGATGGTTGCACAGGCATCGGCGCAGCCGTACCCCATAGCACACGTGCCACAACCACTGTTCAAACCACCACTGGAGTTTGCTGATCCTAGCTGCCAAGTTTGAAGTGAGGGAAGCAGGACACTGAGTTACAGGGAAACCAGTTCTGAATTTTCAGCATTGCAGGTTCACTCTGAGATCTCGTTTCCTTTGGGTTAGGGAAGGGACCTTTATCACTTCGTTACTGACGGCACAAGACACCAACAGTTAAATTCACTGTGTAAATACAGAATTCTCTCCTTTAGAGTTGCTGTCACCTATTACTATAGTATTGTTGCAAAACACTCATTTTCAGTGCTCAAAAGACGAGTGACAGGACATTTGATAACATGTAAGCCATTAGACATTAGGAAGAGGAGTTGAGGCACTGGCACAGGGTGCCCAGAGAAGCTGTGGCTGCCCCATCCCTGGCAGTGTTCAAGGCCAGGTTGGACACAGGGGCTTGGAGCAACCTGCTCTAGTGGAAAGTGTCCCTGCCCGTGGCAGGGGGTTGGAACTGGATGAGCTTTAAGGTCCCTTCCAACCCAAATCAGTCTGGGATTCTATGATTCTGCCTGCAGCAGAAGAGACATCCTTTCAGGTATCAACAATGGGCACACACAGTGCTCCAATTCTGCAGCAGCTATTCAAACCAAATGCTACAAAAGCCCTTCTCCCAAATTAAAAATGCAACTGATGGGGGCTTATACCACAACATCATTCAGAAATATTGATTTGATAATCTGTACTGAGCCAATCAACTGAGTATGCCATGAAGCCTGCATGTGAATACATACATACAGGCTTTGTTCACAGGGATAGCAGCCGAGGATTCCTGGAAGAAGGTAAAATAAGCAAATACCTTACACAGTATCAGGTATTTCAAGAATGCTATACATCTTGTATCTAAACAAGTTTTCACCATAAATTACAATGATACTGTTTTTTGCTCTCACTGGCTTTTAAAATTGCATACACTGGGCAAGATGCCCAACTATCCACAGCTTATCTCCACGTGTAAAAATCTTTTAAGCAGACATAAGGCAATAACTTTGTCTATTTTGTTAGGATTTCCTAAACATTTTTGTTTGATTTTAATATATTTTTCCCCAGCTGAAAAGAGAAGTGGTAATGATTTATAAAGCTGGAACAAAACCAGCACCTGAGAGGCAATGATCGCTCTCCTCCTCCCTCATGACATCCCCAAGACCCGGACTAATCTTTCCTGGACTTTGTTAGTTCTAACATCTGTCTTTAGATATTGACAGTCTAGACAGGTTAAACTCAATTTTATAATTAATTACAATAATCTAGTATGGAAGCAAAATTCCATTGTGAATCAATCCATGTAAGTAATTTTAAAAGCTCTCTGAAAAATTAGGTAACTTCAAAGATAACATAAGAAGCAAATCAATTGAAAGATTTTATTCACATTTCCCTTTTATCACTTTTCAACCTAACTACATTACGTCAAAACACTATTGCACGTTACATATTTATTATTTATACCCATTCTTACGTGAAAGCAATTATCATTACTGGAGTTTCTTTTATCACTGCAAGCTTAAAATGAAACTAAGAAAAACCTTTCATAGCTTTTTCTTCAAAGGTTCAATAACCAAGTACAAAAGGTAGCAGAGACAGATCATAGATTTCACAAACACACACATATATAAAATATATATAGATATGTAAAGGAAAACACATTATACAGACTAAACACCAAACTGCTGCAGCACTAACTAGTTCCCCGTGCAAAGGCAGTACCCACCACCATTGCCAAGTGGCCCCAGCACCACATGCTGTCCTTCTCCAGCAGCAGCAGCTGGCACCATCCAATCTCTGCTGGCAGAACCCAACGGGGATATTCC